GAGAAAGAGAGAGAGGGTGTGTGTTTGTTTAATACATTATCTCATTTGATCCTCACAATAACCCCTATAAGGTAGATGCTGTTCATATTCCTATTTGCAAATGAGGAAGCAGACTGAAGAAGATTATGGTTTGTCCACAGTCACATGGTTACTAAGTGTCTAAAGTGGATTTTGAACTTCCTGTATCTAAGTTTACCATTTGTCATGCTACCAGTACTCTTAGGATGGTGGTGGCTTTGCCAGAAATAGGGAAGTTGGGAAGAGGGGCAGATTTTGGGGGAAAGACAATGAGTTTGGATTTGGTTTGATGTGTTAAAAGAGAATTTTTTAAGAACTGAAAGTTATCTGTTAAGAGTTGACATAACTAACTCCATTTTATTCCGAATTGTCTTCCCATGCCTCCTCCCCCGTATGATGTGTCAGCAAAATTTCTCTCAATACCTCCCTTGCCCCTCATCTATTTATGGATCATCTTAATCTGAGAACCTTAATAGCTCAAGGAAGTTGTACCCCTTCTCTTTATCCTATCTGACAAAGCTGTGGTAGGCCCTTAACTCATTCTTATTGACTGACTTCTTTTGTTACTCTCTGGCCCACTAAGCTGTGGAGGGAAGAATGTAGAAATGTCATCTTCGGAATTGTGAGATACACATGTCCATCACTTACTGATGGTATGTGTCACACTCTTAAGTGAATAAATAAACTATACTTTATCTATCTGTCTGTATCCTGTGCTGGTTTATTTTGGCAGTAGCTAATAAGGACCCTGAAAAATCTTGAAACAAGTGAGAAATACTTGCATATGCCCCCTTCTCTCCTCTGACATTGCCTTCACCCTGGTGCAAGCCCTTATCACCTTAGGCCTTGACTATTGTAATAATAGCCTACCAGGTTGGTGTGCCTGTGAAAGTTTCTGCGTGCCCAAGCCATTCTAGTCCATTCTCCATTCAGCAGTCAAAGTGATCTTCCCAAAGCACAAATCTGTCTATGTCACCCTCCCCTCCCCCCACTATTCACACACTTAATTAACTTCATTTGCTCCCTCCAACCTTTCCGGTCTTCTTAGCATATATTCTGCAATCCAGTGCCACTGGCCTCCTTGCTTTTCCTAGAACAAGAACCTCCATCTCCCAACTCCAGGCATTTTCACTGGCTGTTCTGTACCTGGAATGCTCCACCTTCTTATCTCTATCTTCTGGTTTTTCTGGTTTCTTTCAAGTCCCATTTAAAATCTCATCTTCTACAGGAAGCCTTTCTCAATCCCCCTCAGTTCTTGTGTCTTGCCTCTGTTGTTGTTGTTGATTTTTTCCCCCAGTATATCCTTAATCTGGCCTGTGTATGTGGTCATTTGCATGGCTGGCAGTAGTCAATAAAGATTTAAGTACCTACTATGTGCCAGGCATTATGCTAAGTGCTGGGAATACCAAGAAAAGCAAAAACAGCCTCTGCTCTGAAGGAGCTCGCTATCTAATGGGGAGCCAACATACAAACAGGCTATATTCAGGATAAATTGGAAATAAAATGTTTTGACTGAGTGGATATGTCCAGAAGTCATTTAGAGATGTAGGACTGACATTTAAGAGAAAGAGTATGGCTAGACATAGAAACTTGGGATTCATCTGTATAGAAATAATTATTGAATCCTTGAGAATCGATGAACTCACCAAGGGGGAGACTGTAGAGAGAAAGGAAGAGGGCCCAGCAAAGAACCTTTTTGGCAACCATTTGTTTCTGGGGTAGGACTGGGGGTGGAAGGAAAGGAAGGAGATAAGTGGTGATCCAGTGAAGGAATTTTCAGCCAGGTAAGAAGATAACCAGGAAGAAAACTTGCAGCCAAGAGAGGAAAGACTATCAAAAGCTGCAGAAAGTTCATCTCGGGATGAGTACTGAGGAACAGGTATGGAATTTAGCCATTATTAAATCTCTGGTAATCTTTGAGAGAGCTGTTTTTGTATGATTGAGGAAGGAATGGGTGGTGAGTCAGTGGAGGTTTGGAGTACTTAGGATTCCCAGCAGTGTTGTGAAGTAGGTTAGAAAACATTTCTATCACCCCTCTCTGGGCTCTAACTTGCTGTTTTCAATCCAGTCAGGAGGAAAGCAAGGAAAGTATTAAACTCTAGTTTCTACTAAAATGCTAAAATTTTAGGGACTTAATTTGTTATTATTCCCAGGAATATTTACATTTTAAAAGACTGCTTGAGAGATCAAAGCAAAGGGATGAATAAATTAGGGTAAATTTCATGAGTGTGTGGGATTTGAGTGGGGTAGGGAAGAGAGGAGGTCTGCTCTTGGAAGCTGTCTTTCCCAGACTTTCCCTAGTCTCTCATCACTCCACATGGCTACTGCCTACATATAATGCCATCTCTGTGTACCAAACCTGAAAATCTGGGCTTTTTTTTAAGTATTAACCTGGAGTCCAGTTGGCTCTCTAACCAAGAGTTGTGCCATTGCCCTCTAGTTTGGAAGCACCAGTATCTGTCATGCCAGGCTGTTTATGTGGAATTCCAGTCTGTACCCTTCCCCACTACCTGCAGCCTTTCTTCTCCCTGTGCCCTGCCCCTCCCTTCCATTTCTCCCTTTCCTCCCAACAGCTAGAGGAATCTTCCACTTTCAGGTCTCATGTTCCTCTGAAACAAATACATTCCAGATGCTCCTACTATAAAAAGTTCATTGTTTTCTTCTGAATTTGAATTTCTCCCCATTTCTGTTCTGGGATGAAACTCCTCAACAACAGTAACTCATTGAATTGCTCTGTTTTCTTTCAATAGTAACATTTCCATCATCTCCAGGAGACAGCTGTGGTGAGAACCGTTAATATTGCTTAAATGAAGAAGGCCTGAGCTATCTAATCAGTGATCCCAGTTCTAAATTCTAGGAAAATAAAGGTCTTTGGCTGCCTGCTTGTGTATGAGAGAGATAGGATCATAGGCTGTCGTGCTGGAAAGGAATTCAGAGATAGATCATTTAGCCAAACAGCTTCTTCTTTTTCTTCTTCTTCTTCTTCTTCTTCTTCTTCTTCAAACAAATTTTAATAGAGAAGGAAACTGAGGCCCAGAGAGATGTTGAGTAATTTGCTCAATGGAAAAACACCATTCTTACATCAGCCTCCAAATCCAATTCTTTTTCCATTTGTGTGTGTGTGTGTGTGTGTGTGTTGTGTGAGTGAATGGGTGTGGGGGTGTGAATGTGCAGGAGTGCACCTACTCTCAGTTGGTCCCTAAAGCCAGCCAGTGTTATAAATAAACCAGTTTAAGAGAAAGAAACTTCCCACAGAAGTGAAATTGCATTAGTCTCCTAGACAGCTAAAACATTGTAAATCAGAAGGAGGGAGAAAACTAAAATTGAAAGCAGGATTGTTCTTGTTAGCAGGGCCAGAGTTTTACAGATCAAAACAAAGCTAAACAAAGTTAAGCACTTACCTCAGCTACAGACTGCTCTACTCCTGAAACTGTCTGTAAGTTTTCCCCAGTGAATCCTGGTCCGAGGATGACTTAATTAACTTCTGGATGAAAAGCTTCTATTTCAAAAGTAGCTATAGTCTTTGCCTGCTGTCTAAATACTTGTCACCTTCTTCAGTTGCTGAGTATGAACATAAGTCTGGGTAGGCAAGCACAGACTACAGAAATCTACAGTTATGCAAGGAAAACAAGAATTTGGTCTTAAGTCATTCAAACCACACACACTGCATTTTAAGTAGCATGGTTTTGTCACGTGACTTAGAAATTCAAATCAACCTACGTAGTGAGGTATTTTGGTATCCTAGAGCAAGAAAGTAAAGTGTGTGTGTATGTGTACTTTTGAATGGCTGGGGCCATCCACTTCCTTCTTTAGATTCCAAAAGTTGGCCCCTTCACAAAACAGCCCCACCCAGAGTTTAGCCAACCTCTGTAGCTGAATTTTAATAGTCCCACTGCTTAAAATAAGACCCAATTCCCTCCACACCCACAATGACATAGCAAACCATGAAAAATTTTTAAAAAGGTACCCCAAACCCGTAGAAGCTAAAGAAAATACTCTCATATATTCTCATTAATATCCCTTAGATTTTTGTAGCTCTGCCTTTATTTGAAATAAGATCAGCTTTATTCTGTACTCTGGAATCTAAGGTCTAAAACTCACTCATTTTCTACTGAACACAATATCCTATGGACTGAGTAGGCAGTCACGTTAATGGTATGACTATAGAAGTCACCAAAGGCCCCTGCCACCATCCAGAAACATATTCCCCACCAGCCTTCCAAAGTACCTGAAAATCCTTCCAACTCCCAAACTCCCAAAGACTCATTCTTGGGTTAAGACATTGTCTCTATTGAGGTATTTTTATCTGTGTGGGATGAAGGCATGAATAGCTGTTATTTTCATAGGACAGATCATTGTATCAGATGACTCTACCTATTTATTATCTGGTAGATTCAGTTCAGAAGGATTGGTAACTTCCAAGGGGAGTTGGCATCAGTAAGGGGTTGGCAACATCCAGAGCAACGAAGGGGCCAGGAGGCAGAGTATTCAATTATTTGAATACATGGTTTAGGGAGCAGAAAAAAAAGGAGTCTAAAGAGGGAGGGAAGGGACAAGATAAAGACCTAATTTGCCATAGGCCAGCCTCAGTTACTTGGAAGTATTGATTTCTTTTAACAATTTACCAGCTTCTAGGCGACTTAAATTTTCCATCATTGAACAACAATTAATTATTAAGTCCCTTCTATCTGCCAGGGATACAGAGGTAGAAATGAAATGTATTCCTTGCCTTCTAGGAGCTTATAGCCTATTGGGGAAAGACACATAAACAAATGGTGATTTTTGTTGTTGTTGTTGTTGTAAGGATGGGGAGGCACTCGTATGTGAGATTAGAAAAGACTTCGTTTAGAAAGTGGCCCTTGAGCTGAACATTTAAGGAAACTAGGGATTCTTTGGAGATATATGTGAGGAAGGAGTGCATTCCAGGCATAGGAACAGATGACCTATGCAGAGACAAAGAGTATCATGTGTGAGAAACAGTGAGAAAGCCAGTTTGGCTGAACATAAGAGTGACAGGAAAAGGAATAATGTATATTAAGGTTTTTAATAGAAATTGTGGAAGAATATTGGCTTATATTTGACGCTAAAGGTAATAAGAAGCCACTGTGCTTTATTGATCAGGGGAGTGACAGTCAGATCTATGAAGTAGGAATACCCCTTTGTCAGCTGTATGAAGGATAGATTTGTGTCAAGTAAAAATTTCCAGGAGACATAATTTCTGGGTAAATTATAATCAGTTTTGTCAACTACAGCTAGCATGTAGTCAACAAAAAAGGCTTGTTTGTCCTCTCAACTATCAAAGAGGCCTAAACTGTGGGACCTTCAATACTTATAAAGCCTTTGGAAGAGGGTGTGCACCTGAGGGTGGAAATCAACTCTGATTGATTAATAAGTAATGAGAGAATGAATATTATAGTGAGAGGTGGGCTTATTCTAATGAGGGTCTGGGGGGTGGGACTCTGATCACTCAGTCTTGGTCATAGGAACTTTCCTGTACCCATGTCACCCCACAAAAGAGAGAATCCATTTTTACCCAGACCTGTCTGAGTAAAAGACAATGGGCTGGGATCCATCAATTTGCCTAAATTAAAATTCCTTTATCTTTTAAACAGATCTGAATTTTCCTTCTCCTTATCATGATGCCCTGCACTTCAAAGGCTACCTGAATAACCTACTGGCACTGATTTCTGAATGAGAAAGTAGAAAAGGGGAAAAACCTTGGTCCTAATTCAATAATTGGTTATTAATATAAGAGAGAAATAATCATTTATCTCCTATTGAAGTAGGGAGAGACTTAAGCAAAAAGACCAAATAGGAGGCTACTGCAATAGTCTGTTTGAGAGGTGATAAAAACTTAAACTTGGGTGGTCTCTATGCAAGTAGAAAGAAGAGCATATATGTGAGAGATACAATAGAGGTTAACACTGACAAGATTCGGCAGTTGGTTGGATGTCAAGTCAGTCACCAAGCATTTATTAAGTTCCTACTATGTGCCAGGGACTGTCCTAAGCACTGGGGATACAAGGAAAGGCAAAAACAGCAGCTGCCCTGAAGAAACTCATGCTCTAATGGGGAGAGATAAGATGGAAATATTATATGAAAATAATATAATAGTAGAGGAAAGGCACTAAGATATGTGGGTTGAGGTAGAGTGAAGAGTTAAAGATGAGTTGGAAGTTGTGCATCTGGGTGACTGGAAGGATTCTGAGAGAAAGAACTAAGTTTGGAAGAAGAGTGAGTTTGGGGGGAAAGATAAAGGCATTCTGTTTTTGATGTGGTAAACCTGAGATGTCTACAGAACATTCATTTTGAAATTTCTAACAGGCAGAAATGTCCACTTTGTTCAAAATGTCCAGCACGATACAGCACTAGAGCTCAGGAGAGAGACGATACATTAGAGAATATTGAGAAACAGGATTTCCGTGTGTTGCATGTGAGTCCAGTCACACACACATTTTTGCAACTTCCCACACCATAGACTTGAATCATCAGAAATCAGCTTAAACTAAACTGATCTGTTAGAAGGGTATTATTTCCTGTCTTAGAAGGATATCATTGTGCCTTTTTGTTTGGGTTTTCACCTTTGAATCAGCCTATTTGCAAGCATTGGCAGCATTTACTAGGTGCTGTAAAAAACCCAATTATAAAATGGATAAGAGATGTCATGGGTGTGAAGGATCTTCTTCCTGGCTACTCAACCTTATGGCTCAAGTAGGATCAGTTATCTTCCTCTAGGTTGTTGCACCCAGAGGTAGGAGAAGGAAGATAATTGCTGTAGAAATTTAGAGCTAGAAGGGACCTTAAGAGATCATCTGTTTTCACCCCCTCATTTTAAAAAGTTTGGAAACGGAGGCCTAGAAAAGTTGTGAGATGTCCAAGGCAACATAACTTGTTAATGGCTAAACAGAGAACCAGACCCGAGTGTCTGACTCCCAGCTTCATGGTTGGTTTGGCTTTTCACTGGTGCACTCTCCGGGAAAGCTACCGTGGTAAACCCCTCGTGCTACTACAGACCTACTGCAAACCTACTGCAGAATCTTTTCTCAAATGAAAATAGGTGGGAAAAATCAGTGGGCAAATCCAATAGCTAGTTATTTATTTCTGAGAGTAAGTTAGAGTTCCATTCTGTCTGGGACTGAGAACTGAGGGGAGCCCCCAACTTGAGATTTTTTCTCCTACATGTGATCAGCCTCTGGATATTTTTGTCTTATCAAAAAGCTAAAAGCCATCAAGCAGAGGGAATATGCTTGTGGGTACAGGGGCTTCCTGGAGCCTGCTAAGCAAATAGCTTAGCCCCAAATGCCTTTCTCCATTCCCTGCAACCCTAGATAGGTTTGGGTCTCATGTAACCTATCACTGTGGAAGAGTATTTTGAGATTGAGTCAACTCCAGAACATTTATTGAGCATCTACCTAATCACCTTGTCCTGTTTGGCTGAACAAGAAGGAGACAATGTTCTATAAATTAAGAATTCAAAGATTGTGATTCACAATGGGACAGAATAGATTAGTGGCCTTAGCCACAGATGCCTGGATTGTCTCTTTGCTCTGGAAATAGTTGGTTTCCACCCCAACCTGACCTTCTCACATTGACCACTGGCTTTTTTGAGTAGAGGCTAATAAGTCAGTTCGTTCAGTGTACCCAGCACCCAGGAAGTGCTCTTCCTCAGCCTAATACATTAATAATTTCCCTCCTTGATAAAGGGTTGGTGAAAGCCTGGCTAAAATGAGACTTGCTCTGTGCCCTTCTCTTATTGCCATTTTATTTTGATGCATCTATTTAATTTAAACTGATTTTTAGTTTCCCTAATTTATTTAGTCTCTAATAGATGGAAAACAGCTTTCCCTGAGAGGTGAATGAAGGCTGTGCATGGTTATTGTCGCTCATTTTCTCAGGCGGGTGTGGTAATCAAATTTCATAGTAATAGAATTTTAGAGCAAGAAGGAACCTTAAAGATGATGTAGTTCAACACCTTCATTTTACAGATGGGCAAACTAAGGCCCAGGGGACCTTGTAGATCATCTAATCCAGCCAGTTCATTTTACAGATGAAGAAAGTGATATCCAGAGACAAAATTTTTTCAGGATCACACAGTGAGTTAGTGGTAGAGCAGGGATTACAAACAGGTATTACTGAATGTTAGGTTAGTTCTTTGGGATTTTATATCAGATCAGTAAATGAAACATTTTTACTATATGTGCCTCTTCATGTCCATCTGGGTGGGTCCCACCTGTAGAGGAGTAGGCAGGCTACCTGTTCGGTGTAATTTAGGGGTGCCTAAAAGGTTTCTCCTATTCTAAATGTGTTTTCTCCCACTGACCTTTTGTAATGCATGTAGTTATCATTTCTGAATGACTGAGTAGGGTCTATCAATCTCTACTCATTATGGGTCCCACCTTCATGTTTTGGTTCTCAGATGCAATGTAAGGGACCCAGCACTGACTGCATTGAAGGTTCTGGGATCAATTCAATGTGACACCAACGAATTGTGTGACTTCGGGGAAATTATTCAGCTCTCTGGGTTTCACTTTCATCTGCAAAATGGCAATAATGTTCTCTACAGAGTGCTTATACCAGATGGGAAGCTTGTATTTTCATTGTATTTTAGGCAACATGTAAATTTGCCACATTGTGTTGTAACAGGAACAGCCCTGTAAATATTAGCCAAAAGAAGATCCTCTGCTTCACAAATACCACACTTGCTTGAGTGTATGTAAGAAAGGCCTTCAAATGCAACATGGTATTGGGTTTTCTTTCCCTTTGCAGCACTGACTTAGCAAAAA